ACTCTGTTGTAGATCCTGGAATGAGGCACTTTATTCACTTGTTCACTAATCTGATACATATGTGTTTGTGTGTGTATTTATCACTTACCATGTGCCTGGCACTGTGCTGACACTGGGGATATATTTGTAAATAAGACAGGTTTTAATAAGCTTTGTGGAGGAAATAAACAAGGTGACATGTTGGGGAATACATGGAGAAGGGACTACTTCAGATGGGAAAGGTGGCTCTGAAGGGGTGACACTTAACCTTAGGCCTGAAGGATAAGAATGAACTAAGCCATGAAGTGCCAGGGTCGGGGCACTGTGGCCGAGAGAAGAGCATGTGTAAGGGTCCTGGGCCGCCCGAGGACTTGGCCTGTCGGCCTAACACAAAGGAGACCGATGCAGCGAGAACCAAGGGAGGGTGGAGGGCGGTTGGGATGGGGGTGTGGTGGGGATGAGGCTGAAGAGAGAGTGATTCAGTTGGACTTAGGTTTTAAAAACATGGGCTTGGGGCAATGACTTTGGATGCATATTTCTCCAAAAAGACATACAAATGGCCAATAAATGCCTGAAAATTTGCCTTGATACCACTAATCATTAGGAAAATGCAAATCAAAACCACAGTGAGAAAGTACTTCACACCCACTAGAATGACTGTAATAAGAAAAGACAGGCGATTGTAAGTGTTGGAGAGGACGCAGAGAATTTCGGAGTGCTCTTCATTGCTGGTGTGGTTGTAAAATGGCGCGGCTGCTGTGGAAAACGCCTTGGAAAACATTTCCTGAACATGTTAAATGTGGAGTTACCATAGGACCCAATAACTACACCCCGGGGAGTGTGCTCAGGAGCACTGAGCACACAGGTCCAGCACTATTCACAGGGAGAAACAGCCCGGGTGTCTGTCGATGATAAATGCATAAACAAAATGTTGGCAAATGCACACAGTGGGACATGACTGAGCAGTAAAAACGCATGAGCACTGGCACGTGCTACAACACGGAAGACCCTTGACAGAAGCTGGTCACAAAGCTCCCTGTGTTGAGTGATTCCGTTTATATGAAATATCCAGAATAGGCAAACCCACAGAGGCAGGTCGGTGGTGTCCAAAGGCTCAGGGCAGAGTGGGGAGTAGCTGCTGATGGAGACGGGGTTGGTGTGGGGGGGGGGGGGGGGGGGAGGTGAAAGTGTTCTGAGATTGGTGATTTTTGTAAAACTCTGTAAATGTGCCAAAATTCATTGAATTATACACTTAAAATGGGTTCTCACCGTATGGGAATTATATCTCAATGAAAATGTCTTAAAAATCAGTTTACTCAATTTTTAAAAAAGGAACAAACTATTCATGCATTTAAGAACATGAGTGAAGCCCCCAAATAATGTTACTGAATGAAAGAATCCAGTCAAAAAAGAATGCATACTCTGTGGTTTCATTTACATAAAATTCTAGAAAATGCGTTCCAATCCAGAAAGCGGGTCAATGGTTCTAGGGCCCAGGAGGTTGGGTGGGACATGGAGAGATGACAAAGAGGTTCTGGGAGACTTTGGGGATTGACAAATTGTTCAATATCTTGATTGTGGTGGTCTGTGTTTCACAAATGTCAACACACTCACCTGATTGTGCCTTTTTAATGTGTGTAGTTTATTGTATGTCCCTTGAACTGTTGCCAAACCCAACCAGTAGGAGGAGGGCTACCGTTGCCGCCTACCAGGAAAATCTCCAAAAATGGAGTTCGGTGGAAAAGAAATGAATCTTATTTTAGGGGCCTAAAATATCTGGGTGACAACAATAAGGGGAAAGAAAAAGTCAGAGTATGACATCAAAAATAGTCTCACTACAACCACTACATAGATTCAAGAACTGAAAACACAAGAACAAAAATCTGATCACGGTGCTGACTGTTATCACCAAGGTCTTTGGAAATAGCGGCGAGCGTTCCCTCTAAGACACCCCCCAAAAATCACCCCGTCACCCTCTGCCAGCTCAGTTCAAGGCTGCACCAGGAACCTCCTCTCCCACCCAAAAGGTTTAGGAATGCAGGTGGCTTAGCTGGCCTCCAGCCGCGGCCCGGCTTCAGGCACCGTCCCGGGGCTGTGCCCCGCGGCGCCCCCGCGCCTGCCCTGGCTGCTGTTGACAGGCCTGCTGGCAACCACTGACAAGCCCCCCACCCGGGGAGGGGAGAGGACCGACTGCCTTTTGGCTTCCGAGTGCGCTCCGTTTCCCAGGTCTTCTCCCAGAACCTCGTGCGGCCAAGGGCCAGTGGGAGCGCCCAGCCCTGCACCCACGGGGGGCCAGTGCCGGCCACCTTTGCCTCTGCCCCGCTCCCTGCCGCCGTGTGTGCCGAGGGGGCCAAGTCTCGGGTCGCGCCTGCGCGGCTCAACCCGCTCCCCCATCTCCGGGGGCGGGGGGTGTGTGTACCCGCCCCCCCATTACAATGCCTCAGGAAAGCGGAGAATACCTAGTCTAGGAGCCGGAGCCGGACGGAGAGCGGCTTGGTGGGGACAGCACTGGAGGCTGAGGGGCAAGTACGCGGCGTTCACAGCGGGCGGCGCAGTGTTCTGGGCGGGATGACACCAGGGACAGCGGTCGGCGGGTTGAGACGTGCTTTGGAGGGACAGCCCGCATGTTGGGGTGGAGCAAAGGTAGGAGAAAGGGTGGTGGTTAGTTTTTAAAACTCTGCTAGAGCAGTTAGATATATGTCGTAGTGCCATTAGCTGGGGAGGACGGGGGTTCGGGGTCGGGAGAGCCACGCGTTCTGTTCTGGAAAGGCTGAGGTGCCGTGTGACGTCCCAGTGGGGAGCCTCAGCGGCGCCGAGAGTGCGCTGGGGCCCAGGGGCGTGGGACCAGGCAGACGGTGCGCCTCGGTCCCTGCCCCGGCGCCTGGCGCAGACTTCGGAGACGCCTGTGACGTCCTGAGTGACAAGGGCACGAGGCGCATCTCTGGGTCCGAGGAGGCGACCCGGGGTGGCCCCTGGGTGGGCTGGTCCCCGGAGAGACCAAGGCCTGGTTAGATGCTTGGGCGTTCCAGCCCCGGCCCCACTTCTCCCCAGAGGCGAGAGGCGCTGGAAGTGGGTGCCCCATCCGCCAGGCCCACGTGAGGGGCTCCTCGGAATCCCACCAGAGCGGGGTTCGCAGTCGGTGAACACAGCCACACACTGAGAGGTGCCGCAGCCCAGCTCCAGGGGGACAGAAGCCCCTGGGCCGGGGGCCCTCCCCGACCTGATCCTGTGTTTCTCCCTCTGGTGGTTCATCGGTGTCCTTTATCGTATCTGTGTAACCCAGTCATCGGAAGTGAAGTGTTTCCGGAGGTCCGCGCGGGTCTAGAAAATTCACTGGACCCAGGGAGCCGTCCCTGGCGCCCCCGAGCTGCAGCGGTTTGGTCAGAAGCCCAGGGGACAAGCTGGACTTGCGGCGGGCGCCTGAAGGGGGGCCGTGTTGTGGGCCTGAGCCCTTCACCTGTGGGGTCCGGCACTGTCGCGGGGGGACGGCGCCTGCACTGGGTCCCGGTTGCGGGAAGCCCGCGGGGCCTGGGGGCGGGGCGGCGTGGGGGAGCCCCCCCACCCGGAGTCCGAAGTGTCGCGAGTGTGGCAAGAGTGCGAGGGACAGACGGGGCGGAAAGGCAGGAGGGAAACCGGGTGGCTTCTCTCCAAAGGGGAGAGATGGTTGCGAAAGCGCGCTGGGGCCGCAGCACTGAGGCAGTGCGCGCGGCCCTGGGCTGGGTGAGGTGGCCCGGCAGGGCGTGTGGCCGCGCGGCCACCGAAACCAGGCTCCCGGCGGGGCGGGGCGGTGGGCGGGCCGCCGCGGGCTGTCTGCTGATGAGGCGGGAGGACTGAGTGGGAGCCTGAGAAGGAGCTCCCTGCGAGGATGGCGGTGGCCGTCCGAGGCAAGCGGCACATGGGGGCTCGGCCGAAGCGCGACGCGCGTGTCAGCGGGGAGGCGCTGAGCGCGGGGCTGCGGGAGGAGGTGTCTGGAGCGAGCAGCCCTAGGGCCGGCGGGTGTGCGCAGTGGGCGAGCCCCCGCGCCGGCCACTCGGGGCGTGGGACGCAGGGGTGAGCGTGAGCCTGCGGGGTGGGGGAGGCGCGCGGCGCCGCCGCTGGGCAGGCGGCAGGCGAGGGGAGCGGTGGGGGGGGCCGCAGGGGTGCGGCTGTAGGCAGGGGGCTTTGAAGGAGAAGCGGCCGCGGAGGCCGAGGAGGACTGTCCTCACTTCCCACCTCTGAAGCGGGCGGCCGTGAGGACGAAGCCACCTTCCGTCCAGGCTCCCGGGTGGGGGGCTCCCGGGAGGCCAGGCTTCAGTGCGGGCAGGAGGTGGGGGCCGGGAAGGAGAGGCGGGGTGTCCGCGGGTCGGTCGCAGCCGTAGGGGCAGCCCGGTGGTCACGGGCACCTGCTTTCCGAGGGCTCTCATGGGACTAATTTGCCAACGAGGAAAGGAGCCGGGGATCGTCCTCACAGGTCTGAGTGGACGAGCCTGCTCTGTGAGAACATCTGGCCCGCGTGGCTCCGTTGTTGAGCAGCTGGGGCCCGTGGGGCAGTGGGGAGAAGTGGGCTCCTGGGCAGCCCTTCGAGGTCAGCCCCCTCATCGATCATGGGGACACAGGTCGTGGGGAAGGGGTGCCCATCAGCGGAGCTACACCTGTCTTGAGGGCAGTCCCAGCATCGGGAGCTTAGCTGGGTGGGCCAGGGCCCCCCTCACCGCTTTCCCTGCCAGCAGGCTCGCCCGGGCGCTAGGGGAAGGCTGTCCTCAGGGTCTCTTTCCCCCTCAGTAACCTGCGCGGCTCCTTCAAATGTCTCTCTGGTTGTAGATGCTTCTGTCTCAGTATTTCCCTGTTTGGACCGGGCTGGGCGTCTGATTAGCCCGCTAGTCCTTGGAGTCTGGCCATGCAGAATTGCTGTAACTCAAACGCCTGCCCGGGGCTGGTTGCCTGGACTGGTTGCCATATTTGCCGCATGGCTGGCTGGGGCATGTGGGTGGGGTGCCGACCGGGACAGGCTCCCAGGCTCACTCTCCTTCCTCTTCCCGCAGCACTGATGTCTTCATCTGCACGAGCCCCATAAAGATGTACAAGCACTGTCCCTACGAGAAGGTAAGGCGTGTGCTTGCTTGCAGAGGGCCTGGTGCTTTGCTCTTCTCCCTGTTACCCCCTGGTCGTAGGTAAGGGTGCTGGCTCTCCGCACACCCAGCGGGAAGGGCGTTGAACGCCCGCGCAGCTGCCTGGCGTGGGTGGCCTCGTTTCTGCCTCCTTTCCCATTGATCCCTCTGGTTCCTCCTCCGCTGACAGCCTCCCCTAGCGCCAGTCCAAAAGTCTGCCACCTTGTCTGGATGGAGCTCTGGAGAGGGTGACCATCCCCATCTCAGTGCAGTGTCATTTGTGAAGGATGGGACAAGGAGGGGAAATGTGTCTGTGGAAGGGCTGGGGGCAGTCCCAATTCACATGTCAGGGCACATGAGGCTTTTTTATTTACACAAAAAGCCTTACACAGGTGAAATCGTTGCGTTTTGCTTTATACTCACTTTATTATCTTTACTGAAAATCTTAGAATGACACAAAGGTGAGACTTTTCTGGAAATGAGAACTTGCGGTTGACCAGATGAGAGGGCAGGTCTGTTGCCCAGGCGGTGGGGGTTCACACCAGAGGTGGGTCCAAGCAGCCCCTCCCGAGCCCAGAGCCTCCCTGTCAGCGGCTCGGCTCAGACCTTCAGCAGGGTTCTCGCGAACGTCTTCCCATTACCTTTCCTCGCCCCAACTCCACATTCAAAGCAAAATGCCAGCCAGCCCTGGACGCCTGCTGTGTGCGCTCGGTGGACTGGGAGCTCGCGCTTACTGAGCAATTGTTATGGCGTCATGCAAGGTGCTCAGCGCCTACCATTTCATTGCACGCTCACAGCACCCTGCTCTGTGGTTGTCCTTACGCCCTTAGAACATTCAAGAAACATGAGTTCAGTTAAACTCAGGGGAGTTAATAACTTCCCCGAAGTCAGTAAGTGTGGAGTTAGGACTGAGGGCCAGGTCCACTATTTCTAGGCTCCCAGGCCGGCAGAGCCTGCACGCCCAGGGCGCTTTAATGAAGTGGGTGTGTTCTGGCCTCTCCCGAGACCAGGAGTGTCCAGCCTGCAGCCCGCAGGCCGCATGCGGCTCAGGATGGCTGTGAATGCGGCTCAACACAAAATCGTAAATTTACTTAAAACATTATGAGATGTTTTTGTGGTCACTTGTTGCAATGTATTTAATGTGTGGTCCAAGACAGCTCTGCTTCCATCGTGGCCCAGAGATGCCACAAGGTTGGACACCCCTGTGACCTTCTGAATTGGAATCTCTGGGAGCAGCCGCGCGTACTTCAGCAAGCCTGCCAGGTGCACCCTTAGTCTCAAGAACTACTGGGCGAGAGTGACTGTGTTGACTGAGGTGGTCCCGGGGGCTCCGGGTGCTTTTCTGGTGCTCATTGGAGTAAGACTGATAAAAATGGCTGTCAGTCACCCGTTCCTGGGATTTAAGTGCGTCTGTATGCCCGCCTTCGCCCCGTGTAGCCTCAGCCCAGGACTGTCCTCTGAGGAAGTCTGGGCAGCTCAACCCTGCCAGTCGGTCCCGGGTGCTGCTGCTCCCATCCTGTGTCCATCCCGCTCCTCCCAGGCTGGAAGCGGGGCTATCGGGGTGACATCCTCTGGCCCTGCCCCCCAGTGCACCGGCCACTCGCCGTAGCTCCTGCTGTTCCGTTTCTGACACCTGGCGTCAGTCACTCCCCCTCCTCATTTCTTTCCAGAGTTAAGAGAGCCTCCCAAGCTGCCCCCGATTCCATCCCACCCAGAGCCACAGGAGGTCTTCATAAGCAGAGCATGTCAGCCTCCTGCTTTAAAACATTTTAATGGGTTCCCACTACACATAAAATAGAATGGAAGGAAGAGTGTGCATACAATGCGCACACACTCACTCTCCTTTCCCTGACCGACAGAGCCCTGCCTCACCCCCACTCCCTCCCATCCCAGGGGCCTGTCCTCTCCCTTCAGAACACTTTGTGCTCCTCTGCTTCGGAGCACGCTGCGCATTCTTGCTTCCTGCCCTTGCGTATGCTGGGTCCGGCACCGGCTTGGTTCCTCTTCATCCATTTGGCCTCAGCTCAGTGGCCTCCCCACAGCATCTGACCATGTTTAAAATACATTCTCCTTCTGCCTTGTTGTTCTACCTTTCAGCCCTTTGTCTCCTGTATAAAACTTACCACCATTTGAAATGGGTTTCTTCCTTTGTCTGTGTCTTGTTACCGGTGGGTCTTGTCCACTAGACTGCAAGGTCTGTGAGGGCAGGGGCTGCGACTATCTTGCTTACTCAGTCCCAGTGCCTGGCACAGGGCCTGGCGTGTGGTAAGCACTCAGTGTTTGTTGTTGGATGAATAGATTTATTTATTCAACAGGGTTATCAAACATCTTTTAGTAACAATGTTTGCCATTTACGCTTTTATTTTATTTTTAAAGAAGATTTTATTTACTTATTTTTAGAGAGAGGGGGAGGGAGGGAGAAAGAGAGGGCGAGAAACATCCATGTGAGAGAGAAGCATCAAACAGTTGCCTCTTGCACTTGCACCAACAGGGGCCCAAACCCAGGACCTTTCACTTCGCGAGACATCGCCCAACCAACTGAGCCACCGCGGTCGGGGCTCTTGGACGCTTTTACTGTGGCAGGCACTGTACTTGTAGTATCGCCCTCAGGGCTCACAGCATCTCCCTGTGAAACAGGGGGGAGTACAGTCGGCCCTTGGCCAACCCGGGGAGAAGGGGCACCAAGTTCCTACCCCCACAGTTGAAAATTTGCATGTAACTTTTGTCTCCCCTAAAACTTTTATTTTATTTTATTTTTAGAGAGGGGAAGGGAGGGAGAAAGAGAGGGAGAGAAACATCAATGTGTGGTTGCCTCTCATGCACACCCCACACTGGGGACCTGGCCCACAACCCAGGCATGTGTCCTAGACTGGCAATCGAACTGGAGACCCTTGGTTCACAGGCTGGCGCTCAATCTACTGAGCCACAGCAGCCGGGGCTGACTCCCCTAAAACTTAAATTGTCCCTTCACACCTGAAGGGGATGGGTTCCAGGACCCCCCCCCCCACCAACCCCTGCGGATACCAAAATCTGCAGATGCGCAAGTCCCCTATGCCCTTTCCATCCGCACATGCACAGCCACAGATCAGAACCGGCACAGGTGTTCGTCACAGAGAATCCGCGTGCAAGTGGACCTGCGCAAACCCGTGGAATTCAAGGGTCAGCAGTGCTCTTCTGATCTGCCAGATGGAGAAGGAGGCTGAGTGAGGGGCGGCAGCTTTTCTGCTGGGTCTCGTGCTCACACAGGCAGTGGCACTGGGCCTGCAGGTCTCTGCGCCCCACAGCCCCGCCCCCAGCCACTCCTGCCTGCGGGGCTGCATACCATTGAGGATTCAGAGCACAGCCACTGTGAGAAGAGGGTATCAGTTAGGACTCTCATCACAAGCAACATGAACAGCATCGAGCCACTGTGAAACTAGAATTTATTAGAAGGATGCTGGTTTGCTCAGAGAATCAAAGGAAGATCGGAGGAAGGAGGCCTCGGACCGGCAGCATGGAGCCGCAGCCGCAGCCGCAGCCGGACGGCCTCCTCAGTGCTGGGCCCGCGGGGCTTGCAGCTGCGGCCAGTCTCTGTGCGCGCGTGTCTGTGCCCAAGAGCCACGTTCCAGGAGAAAGAGCTTACCAGCTGAGCTCGGGTCCCACGCCTGGCCTGTGGCAGCGGGAGGGTGGGCCTCCTGGGGGTCCTGTTAAGGATGAGGAGGCTTCACAGAAGAAAATCCAGGTGCTGTCCCCCGATGAAGAAGTGCAGTGACAGTGGCGCCTTGAGTAAAGGGAAGGAAAAAAGCAAAACCCCACCTCTTTGGTCCTCCCACCGAGAGACAGCAGCACCGTTAACCTCGAGACGTGTGTCTTTCTACCCCAGAACTGAGCCTCTTCATTTAACCTCAAATATAAAATGTAGGCCGTGTTTTGAATGTAAGGAAGTAATGAATTCATTCCTTCAGCAAACATTTACTGAGCACCTGCTATAACACTTAAAAAAACACCCCATCTCTGCTTTCAGGAGCTGATGACAGTGCGGCAGGCAGACAGTGGGTTGTCACTCTGTGTCACAGCCTTTGCAGTCACACAGGAGGAGGAAGCTGTGGCTTGTTCTTGGGGAAAGTAACAAATGAGTCAGCCATGGGAATGAGCAGGCAAAGGAGGGCAGAGAGTGAGTTCTGAGTGTCACAAATAGCAGTGTAAACACAAAGGGCATGTGGGGGTGCTTGCGGAGGCGGGGGGTGGTGCGGGTGGTCGAGGAGAGGCTGGAGATGAGCTGAATAAGCAGGCAGGGCCTTTAGTAATTAGGAGTTCGCACTTCAGGCTACAGGCACTGTGAGGCTCTTAAAGGCTGTTTAAGCAAAGCCATTGTAAAACCCATTGGTGTTTCTGAAAGCTCCCTGCAACAGGGTGGCAGATTGCTTGGTGGACTTCACCCCCAGCCTGGAGACCACATGGAGCCTGCTGCAGTGATCCAGAGGGAATGTAATGAGGACCTAAGCCAAGACAGGGACAAAGGCCCACAGGACGGTCACCAGGGCGGTGACTTGTCACATCCATGAGAAACAGGGAACGTTCAACAGAAACATGCACTGTGGATGCTCATAGAAAGTGTTCCAAAAGCAAAAAGCACAGTGAACATAAGCACAGATTACTCAACTTTATTAGTAAAGAAATGAAGGTTGAAATGATTTTTTCTATTGGGATGATAATCATTTAAAATTATAATGTATTGGCATAGGTTTGTAAAAACCAGCATTCTCAGATACGGCTGGTAAGAAGAAACTAACAAGACCTTTCTGGTTGGTAATTTAGCAGAATACTCAAAGGCCTTTGAAAATTGCCCTTATTATAAGTTTTGTGCTCCAGATTTATTAGGATGCAATGTAAACTCAGGGTGGCAGAGCCCCCTGAAGGATGACCACCACCGCAGTCAGGACAGGACTCGGCCGCAGCGCCGCCGGGCCCAGTTGCCGGGGCTCCGCTGCCGTGAGTTTTACCTTCAGGAGCTGT